ATCTACATCTAAGAGGGAAAGAGTATGATTCCTTTCCTCTTATATAACTATAATAATTTGGAACTTTATTAGAGGATAGTATAGAATGAGTTGTATTGGAATAATTCATATCTGTGCCCTTCAATATAACATGAATTTCTGATCATTAGGAACTAAATATAATAATCTTTGTACATTGTTCATAATGCTCAGTACCAATGCACATGGAAGTCTCACTTGGTAAATAGTTACTGAATTAGAGAAGTACTAGAAAGAATGTTTTCATTTAATTACAAATGCACACATTCATATATGTTATTTCTATAAATGATATGTATATGACATATACATATATTTTTCTTTTACCATAAAAGAGCATAACACAAGAGAAAATGCAGTATCACAGCAGAACAAATCATAGTTTATTTAATGTAGTTTCAAGTTTATTTTTTTCTGTGAGTTTTTAAGATTTGATGTGCTAACAATACAGTGAAATAGCCAGTGCTATTTTTAATTTCTTTCACAAAAATATTAACATCTTAATATCATTTAGAATCAAAAAATTCTAAAGTGTGTGTTTTTCTCCTAATTACATATTTTCTTAAAGCAAAGGGCCTCAAATTAACTATATCTTTGTGGCTTTTTTTTACTTTAGCCGTTCACAGGCTAAAACATACAGTTTAATCTTTTAATTAATTTATATATTAAAGTTAATGACATGGTAACAATAATATTGTTTGTGGCATATCTCTAAATTTTATATTAACAAAAAGACTTAGACAATTGTATTGAAACTATTAAACTAATATTTTAAGACTGATGCTTTGACACACTTGTGGATTAACATTCTTTTTATTTATGTTGCTTCTACCTTGACCTTAGACAATGAAAATTACAGATATAAATGCAATAACTTACTCTTCTATCAGAATAAAATACTTAATACTTTCTTAAACTTTAAACATGATGAGTATTAAATGTTATAATCCTTTTTTTCTGAAAGGAATTAATTGCATATTAAGTCTTTCCTCCTTTATCATATTAAAAAGCAAATAGTATTTGTGAATACCACTATTTCTACTATAAGTGAAAGCTTAGACTAATTTTTGTGCCATATATTCTATTTAACAAAAATGTAATTATTCTTACTGGAATCCAGACCAATGATATGAAAGAACACAAAAGAATTGTGAACAATATGGTATTGAAAAATGAGACAGGAATGCTTTTCTGAATATGGATATGATTTAAACAGACAAGTGCAGATAAATCCACATGAATATTGCATCTGCTTCATTGAGTGGCTTGTAATTTTGAAACTGTCACATGTCAGCAAATACATCAACACTGCTAGAAAGGAAAAGGAAGTACATTTCTATTAAGTGCCATTGCTTTTGGCTAACATAAGATATCCATGACAATATTTAAAATAAAAAGTTAGCTTTTCAAAACAAATTATTTTACTCATATCACCATTAACTCTTCTCTGAATGAAGATAACTGAGTGTGTGAAAAGAGATCAACAAATATTTTAAAATTAATACACATATGTACACTGTATATATGTGTGTATATAAATACATATGTATATAACTAACAACACAAATAGTCAAATGGTTATGGTAATTCTGTTTACAATCACATTTTGAAATTGATAATCATGTTACACCCATGGAATCTTCTTATAGTCAAAGGTCATGATAATTACATTTCAGTTCATCCTCTTTGAGTTTTCACTTGAGGATATGATCTTCTAGATAATGTAATAGACAATACCTAAACATATGAAGCATGTTTATTACTGGGGAAAATGTCATAATTATTCTTTTCTGGAAAACTCAAACCAAAATATGAGTATCAATTATTCAACCAGTTAAAAGTAATATACCATAATTGATTCTGACTTATTTAAACCAAAATTGTGAATTTAGGTGAAATGTAGTTAGAGGAGATGATAGAAATCCAGTTTAATCAAGCTGTTTTTGTTACTCTGAATAGTTGGTTTCACACATTGTACCATGATTTGTAACTAAGTGTGAGTCCTGGAAATGAACCTTAGCTTTTATGTACTTTTTTTCTCCTTTTCTTCCTTTCTTCTTTCCCTTCTCCTTCTCTTCCCTCCCCTCCCCCTTCCGTTTCCTTCCTTCCTTCCTTCCTTCCTTCCTTCCTTCCTTCCTTCCTTCCTTCCTTCCTTCCCTCCCCTCCCCCTTCCGTTTCCTTCCTTCCTTCCTTCCTTCCTTCCTTCCTTCCTTCCTTCCTTCCTTCCTTCCTTCCTTCCCTCCCCCTTCCGTTTCCTTCCTTCCTTCCTTCCTTCCTTCCTTCCTTCCTTCCTTCCTTCCTTCCTTCCTTCCTTCCTTCCTTCCCTCCCCCCCCCCCTCCTTCCCTCCTTCCTGCCCCTCCCCCTTCCATTTCCTTCCTTCCTTCCTCCCTTCCCTTCCTTCCCTTCCTTCCTTCCATCCATCTGTTAGAACCATTCCCCTCTAGCCTAATTTAAAAATAAGCTTATTTGTGTTGTTTATATTCTATTCTCCAAAATGTTATACTCAAGCAAAGTATCAGAATTTAAAATTTTGATATTATTTTTACTCTAGGAATTTTTTTCCATTTAAAAAATCTCCTTGCAAGTCTAGTTAATTTTAAAAAATGAGAAGTTTAGTACTAGATTAGCATGGTTTACATTTCTAAGGTAATAGTATCATTCTAAGATAATAGTATATATGTTTCCTCAGTTTACAAGAATATAGTGTATTTTATAATTTATAAGAGGTGTCCTCTTTGGACACAATTTTTCTCTTAATAAGTTGTTAATGAAGTCTATAAAACTATTCACTGTAGGTCAACATTTAAAATTCAAATTTAATTATAAAAAGGTCATGAAAATATATTCTTTGACAGTACAGTACATAAAAAGATAATTTTCAGCCAAAACAGTATAATAAATCATTAAACTTTTAAGAACATAACTTAGACATAATGATTTATACTGTACTTTAGCCCTTTAATTTTAGTTTGTAAGTTATAAATTCAGTTTACAAATGCCCATGGTGGTCAGTCAATATCAGTAAGAGTGGTAAAATAAGTAGCAAAATCAGATTTTACTTATTAAAGTACCAACATATAAATCCATACTAGTTTATTTTTTCAGAAGTGATTTGCACACATTTAAATTGGCGTGGACACCTTTAGAGAGGCAAAGCAGCGTATGAATTCCTAATAGGAGTGGAAGTACAGTCACCAATTAAAAACCTTCTTCACATTCTCAAGATCACTTGCATTTCACATTTCTCTCCATGCAGCTGAATTAGACGTAGGGCATCTTTTGCATCCCTTTGCCTCCAACTGAAACCCCTTCAACTGTAGAATGTGACACAAACATCCAAGTCAGAAAACATCTAAGGGGAGGCCCCCTTCTTTTGGGGATTCTCTAAGCGTGGAACACGGACCCTCGGCTCCTTCATCCACCACTCTCCCAGCTGGTGCCACTGGGCCGTCTCCCTCCCGTGCCCTCTGCCCTCTTTGACCATATCTTCTACCCTTTGTAACACTACCGCTTTCTCTTCTCCGTTCACGTTTCTCCATTGCATACATATTTTTTTTCAAAACATTCTGGTGAGTTTCGAGGAGGACCTAAGTTCCTTCCAGAAAGAAAATAAGGGTGGCAATAACAGCGAATAACGTATTAGAGAAGTCCCCACACTAGCAATGTGGGCTCCTCCGTGCACCCTTAACGCGTTATGTTTAGCTGGAGAGCATTCCTCTTTCCCTTAGGTTCCCGCCCGAGGAGCTGCCCCACCTGCGAACAGTGAAGGCATTTTTGTTGTCGACTAACCCCCTCTAGCGCCGAACTGACAGCATCTGAGCCGCGGCTGCCAGCAGAGCGCCAAGCTTGGCGGAGCTCGGCAGCGCCCCGGACTCCCGCCCCGCCTCCTGCGCCCGCACCGGCCGCCGGGCGAGTGTCAGCGCCAGGGACGCGGAGCCCCTCTCCTTGTTATTCCCACGTGCTGCCCGGCCCCGGCACGAGGGCCGCCTGGCTCCACCGAGTAACCAGTGCCCGGGCTCCTGACCTACTCCTCGGAGCGCCGGGAGGGAGTGGGTGCCGCGAGAGGACGGTTCACGCGCGAGAGCGACCAGTCCGCCACGAACTGGGTGCCGCCGTGGAAGTGGCCACGCGCCGCTCAGCCCTGGGGCTGCTCGGAGCGCGCGGTCGGACGCCGCCACGCCGCGGACGCTCCCGGCCCCCGGAATCCCAGCCCCCACGGCGGCTACAATGCTCGTGACCTCCATCGCGCAGTTCCCGCCGCGCAGCGACGCGAAGACCTCAGGGAAGCCGGTGCCAGGCACCCGACCACATTCAGCCTGAAGTGACCGTCCTCCGCTGCTGGCTCACTGCCTTTGCTTTCCTAGGACTTGAGGCAGCGAAGGAGGCCACAAAGCGGAGGCTCTCGCAGCGGTGGGCAAGTTTGGACAACCCACGCTGAGGAGCCGTCCGGCTGGTCCGCCGCCACCCAGCTCGCCCCGGACTGGGAGAGCTTGGCCGGGGCGCTCACCCCCTCCAGCGGCGGAGATGTGGAGAAATCTGGGGGAGGTGGTGTCAGGGGCTGACTAGCCCAAATTGCTGGGCGCGGCTGCTGCGAAACGGGGAGCAAAGTGCTTGGGGGACTGAGAGGGGCCTCAGAAACGCCCAGAAAGCGGCGGCCAAGGCGCTGCGCAGATGCAGCCGAGTTGGAAATCTCAGCGGTGCGAGCCACTGCCGTCGCCACACCGACGGGGGGCCGAGGACGCAGTTCGATAGGTGGCTCGGACCACTCGACGCCCCGCGTCACTAGCTCGGCTCTCCCCGCACTGGCCGGAGGAAAGTTCCCGCGGCCCCAGCCTAGTCTCACAGCGGCTGCGCCGCCCCAGCTCTTGGCTCAGCAAGTGCCCACTTCGGTCTGGAGAGGCGCTCCGGCCGCCGCACCTGGCCGTCCTTCCCCAGCCGCGCCGCGTGGCGCCCTCCCCCGCCCCTCGCTCCCCTCCCCCAAACCACAGCCCTGGCTCCTTCCTGCGCGCGCGCTCTCCCAGGACCAAGTGAATAGTCCTCGCGCGAGCGGGACACGGTGGTGGATGCAATTCCGTTCCCCTGCAGCCGCCAGGAGTTCCCTGGCGCCGCAGGCAGCGTCCTCCTCCGAAGCAGCTGAGCCTGCACCTGGGCAGCCTGGACCTTCCTGCCCTGCCCTCGGGGCCTCGCGCGGGGGGCGCCTCGGGACACCCCCTGCGGGCCGGGTGGAGGAGGAAGAGGAGGAGGAGGAAGAAGAGGTGGACCAGGGTCTCTACCCTACACAAAACACCTGGCTGCGCTGCTGCTACTTATCTTTTAGGGGGAGAAGAGGAGAGCCGGGGAGAGCCATGGGGGGCTGCGAAGTCCGGGAATTTCTTTTGCAATTAGGTTTCTTCTTGCCTCTGCTGACAGTTTGGCAGGGAGACTGCAGTCACGTCTCCAACAATCAAGGTAAGGGACCGAGGGAAGAAGCAGGAGGGAGTGGGAGGAGGTGGATGGTAAGAGGACCGGTGCACTGGTCGCTTCCTGCAGGTAACTTCGGAGATTGTCTTCTCCGGGCTTGCCCCACGAGGGGGTCCAGGATGCCCCCCTCACCTGGCGGGTGGTCCACATTGCCTCGGACCTGCGACCCCACCAGCTGCGGTCCCTACTGTTTCGCAATGTCTTTAGAGGGATGCGTGAGCCTCAGCAATAGTTGAGTCCCACCACTGGCGGCAGCGGGACCACTCTTTGCTGCGCTGCCTCTACAGGAGGCCGGTCTTCCTGACACATGCTTAATGGAGACTTTTGGCTCTTGGCAGTCTCTCCTGGCTGGGTTACGTGTAGGGTCTCTCACACGCCTTCAGGAAAGCAGATCGCTTCCGCTCTATCCTGTGACCAGATGCTACCCTTTGCCTCCAGTAACTCTGCCGCCCTTGCCTCGCTGCAGCCAGTCCCCATGACCCATCCAGACATGTTTGAATCATTTGCTAGACTAGATATCTGTGCTTGTGGTTTCTCTCTTCATTGTGCGCAGAGCAGGTGGAGGGAAATAAGCATTAAGTGTGAATATCCAAGTTGTGAATATCCTATTCCTAAAGTCCAGTCTCTGTTAGATATTTTTGGAGGAAGACTGTTTCTGTAGGTAAAGTGTTAAAAATGAAGGTGAATAGTGTGTGGAAAGTGAAAGTCAGGTTTGTCAAATGGAAAGCACTTAGAATGTCTGAACATTTCCTTCTGTTCAAACAGCTTTTATGAAATACATCTCATTGGATTTCTGCTACGATTGTTTAAAGATCTATAACAAATATCACCTGCGAGATCTAAGTCCTCTTAGCATAAGCAGCAAACAACCGTAAAAGTTTTCCAGCATGTATTTGGCTGAGTGCTCTCACTGGCAATGTGATGACCACCAATATGTCCCCTGTTATGTCACACTTTTCTAAAGACTTCAACTACAAAACTTCAGTTACAGTCACTATTTAACAAATTAGGCCTCAGGATAATTTGCAGATATAAAAATGGAGGCCAGATGACATAAGAGTGTGCACTTTTTTTGTGACGGTGAGAAGATTAAGAGAGAAGGCAAATAAAACCTCTACGACCATTTAATTTTATTTAGAAATATTCAGAATCAACATTCATTTGTTTTCATACACTTTGTATTTTTGGCATGTTTTCCTAAATGTTTCTTTTTTTATTTCTGCCAGATTGCAATTGCAGATGCAATTTGGGAATCATACACGATCATCATGGCTTTGAAGATGTGTCAAATAATAAGTGTCCCATTATAATGCCATACTCTCCTCTGGCCTATGACAGTGTATACCTGCACACACACCCCTCATTTGTTTGTAAGAGATATGGACATTCAACATTGAAGGGGTAGTTAACTTAATCTACTTGTAACTTAATCTACTTGTGTGAAAAACATTGTTAAAAATAACATAATTATTTATTTTATCTTTTTATATTTTAAGAAAACTGTTTTTAATTATTGGAAAGTCAGATGTTTATATTGTACTCTATGTTAGTAACTACAGCTACTAATAGAGATGTGTACTTGGGGAGTCAAATGCATTAGAATTATCTAAAAGTTTTTCCCATGCTGTAGTTTCCCTCAATCAACATTTATTTATTCATTAAGCGCCTATAGGACACCAGGAACCACCTTAGGCCCTTGAGGATACTAACATAAATATAATATATATCCGAATCTGCAAATAACACAAGTGCCATTCTACCAAAATCTGTCAGGTGTTGAAGTATGACCTTTCAGGAATTCTTGTTAAATTAAGGACCTAGAAGAGTTACTTGTTAACCTCTTCCAGTAATTTTTGTTTATCTATTTTGATTACTTTTGCATCATTTTAAACACATTTTATCTAAAATGTTTACCAAGTGTATATAATTCATGGCTATTTTTTATTAATTAGCTTAACTTAATGTTAGTGAATGGGCATTACTCAGTTTACCCATCTGTCATGTAGGATACTCATCATTGGGTAATGTTTACCCATCATTAAAGATAGTCTACTAAAACTCTTAATTTGAATTTCTGTTAATACAGTAAAAACACAGGCTATGCATAAGATTACACTTGGCTAAAATAATACCTACAGTGTAAGTTGGATAAAATTTAGAGTTCTTCAAAAGAGAATTAAAGAGAAAGTTTGCCCTGATTGTTTCATTAGACATAAATGGTTGCTTATAATGTGCTGTTACAACCTAAGTCACAGTGTTTAGAAATTATGCCTTATTATACCCTGGAATAACTTTCAAATACTAAAGTGATCACACTAATAGCTAATAAAATATCAAACTTAAAAATGTTATTCTTATAAGTTCTTTGGGCATATTTTATTAATTTGTAGTTTTATAGATAACATTAATCAAAATATATCTTACCAATTTTTAAACATTGGCATTACAGAATTATATTATATATATAATATAGAAAGATTAATGTGAAGTATAAATTAGATTTCTAGTATACATTATGAATATCAGTAATATGGTTAGCAGTTAATGTCAAGTAAATGATGTTCATTTTCTTAGTAACTTTTCATCTTAAGAGCTAATGGAATTCATGCTTTACTTTTTTAATTTGTAATTTTATGAATGCTAAAATTTTATTTTTGTATTACTTGCCTTCTGATTAAAGATATTAACAAAGTAAAAAATTTAGTGCTTTTTATCCATTTTGACCAAATTATATAAAACTCTTTATGGTTAAAATGAATGGACTCACCTTCTTCCTGCCTTCTAGTTTTTCAGACTTAGAATGGGTAAAATAATGATAATGACAAAAAAATGAACTAGCTCATTTTTAACATGGTGCTTAACATGTTGCTAAGAGTAACTTCACTATAGGAAGCAATCTTTTCTCTTGTCTTTTAACTGGCTGTGAAACTGCACTATAAAGAGAAAATAAATCAATTTGACTCTCTTCCTATTACCCAACCTCCTTGAATTGATTAGAAGGTAGAGTTGCTTTCCGGATCATTCATCTGTTTAGTAAGTGAAAACATGATTTGTATTCATATTTCTCTTATTCTTAATAATTTACCCTGTATTTAAGACAACAGTATTTAGTAGGTGTTGGTGATTTTTATTTTAAAATAACAAATTTTGTCTTCTTAATGTCTATAAACATTTATACATGTACCGACACTTAGGTGACTATAAAACAAAATCTTGTTTCATATGTAAATAACCATATTTATTAATTATAGCAGTTAGTAGCCACCAGGAGTTTATTTATTCAAAGATTAGTTTAGCAAATAGTAGTGTACAGCCTGAAAGAGTTGATGCAAATCTCAGGGTATGGCTCATTTTCCAAAAATCATCAATCAGGTACTAAAGTAATTCATTAAATCAAAATATGGCTTGGATGCAAGAATCTAGTGAGTTCAGTTTACTACCAAGATTGTGTAAATTTATCTCCCCCACTCCCCTGTTCCCAGGGAATTCAGTGACAAGTGAAATAAGCAAAACAGTAGTCTGACTTGTTAGTTTCATTGAATTTATTATTTAGGCCAAAGCGAGTGTAAATTAGGTTGTATATAGATATAGGTGAACATACCTGAGCAGAAATATACTTGCTTAATAAAATCTGTAGCCTAAAATTAGTTGAACTGTTGTAAGTATTGTTCACAAATAATAGAACTGAATATTCTAATGGTAATAGAACAAAAGGAATTGAATTTTTTTTAGAAAGTTCAAAACTGACCACTCCTGAATATATTAAAAATGTTGTTAAATAAGGAAAACTGGGTGATTTAAAAATAACAATTCTAAAAGAATTTAACTTAGATAAAATTCATTCTCGGGGATAAACTATTCATAGTTGTAAAGGTACAGGAGATTATAATCATATGCCTTCCTGTAACCATAAATATAAAAGCAACCTGGGATGTAATTTTATCATACACTTATAAATTGAAATGTCATTGTGTAATTAGTTGTTATGATTAGTATTTGAAGTGGAAAGATAAAATGTCTTTAATATGCATTGATCATCTAAGTGTTGTTTGCCCTGGGTTTGGGATATGACTGTATCTGAAGACATTTTCTTGCAAAATAATTATGCAGTGTTATTTAAAGATCCCTTCTTCACACTGAAAGGAACATGAATAAAACATTTGGATTTTCCTAAGAGGGAAAAATATATATATTTAATGGTATAAGACAAAATGAATGGTTAAATAACACCTTTCTACTGTTTTTAGGTTTTAAACTTTTAAATAAATAATTTGTGTTAGTTTATGTTAAAAAGTTAAATATTAAGAAAATATTAGAGTAGAATTCTTTGTTTCTTCATCATTACAAGTGTAAACTACTTAACTACCAAAGGCATCATAGATTTCTTCTATTTCCTTCTACCAATCCTCTTTCCCTGTCATGGGCATCATATCTCAATCATACCCTTTCTCACTTCACATATACGAGTACTTGTAACTAGATGGTCCATCTGTCCCAAATGGTGAAAGAATAGATCCTGTCTTACACTTCTACATCAACAAACCTCTAGAGTAATAGAAGTTTTTTCACTATGTTCTTGATTCAGCATTTCTTGAGAGTATAAATATGGTGGAAATCGATACATATAGTTAAGTAATCAAAATGGGTTTACTTTATCCAGTGTACATTGTCAATCATATAATCAAACTAAATTTATACATCTACAGTATTTTTAATAACGATTGTATTATTTAAGGTGTGCAGTATATGTACTACATCAGCATTCCGATCAACTTGCAATTTCACTAAACTGACATTATTTCTTTAAAGATGGGAATTATATTAGTTCTTCTTTTGCCTAATTTTATTAAGTATTGTTTTCTGGAATTCAATATTTGAATGATGGGGAAAAAGAGATAAGCAAGGCAAACATTGTCCATGCCCACATGGTATCTATTTCTAGCAAGGGGGCCTGACCAAAAAACATTAGGTAAAATAAAATGATAAAA